GGGGGCGGGATAGAAATGACTTAATACCGCTGACGTGGGGCCTGCTCCGTTTATCTACTATCGAGTTAATATCTTTTCCATTCCCTACTCCATTCATTAAAAATGAGTCACCAAGTCCCACCCACAGGCAAGGGGAAGGGAATGAAGCTCCACCTCAAGGAGGGAAGATTATAAAAAAAAAATGTTTGCATGTTAAAGGCACTGAGAGTCATTAATCAATACCTTGTAACTACTATTTTTTTAAAGATTTTAAAAAATTGATTTGTAGAGAGAGGAAGGAAGAGATAGAGAAACATCAATATGAGAGTGAAACATCGATCAGCTTCCTCCTGCACGCCCCCTACCGGCTACCTTTCCACGCTGGCCTGTGCTCTAACCGTGAAACCACACCAGCCAGGGCTGTAACTTTTTTAAAAAATATGTCTTTATTGATCTCAGAGAGAGAAAGGGAGAGGGAGAGAGAGACAGAAACATCAATGATGAGAGTCATTGATCGGCTGCCTCCTGCACGCCCCCTCCTGGGGATCGAGCCCGCAGCCCTGAAGCGCGATCTCCTGGATCCCAGGTCGACGCTCAACCACCGACACTCAACCACCGAGCCAGGCCTGGCCGGGCGGTAACTTTTTAAAATTGAAATCTGTTGATAAGCAAATCTCGAGTTATGGTTCATGGCAACTAACAAAAGCTGAGGCTTAAAAAAAAAGAAAACCAGCTGAGGCTTGAGAAAAGATTTATAACCAGACCACATAAACAAGACATTTGTGAAATCAACTGCAGAGACAAAAAGATATTTAAAATACCATTTCATTTTAGCTTGAAAGTGTTTGTCAGTTTACTCTCTGGCCAGAAATGATTTGTTTTCGCTGTCAGATTTAATAGCGCCTCTTCCCCTGTCGTTACTGAGGATTTACTGTGGACCAGCGCTGATCGTCACGGACTTTTATGTGGCCCCACAGCTCACTGCATTTAACACAGCTTAGAGGAGGGAAGGAAGGACAACCATATAGAAAACATCAGCCCGTCAAACATTTACGATAAGGGGACACTGGGTCAAGTCCGGCCTCCCTACCAACTGGACTCTGCGTTACTTACTAGAAAGACCAAAGTCAAAACTTTCCTGTCTCCTCCACGGCCCGGGATGCAGCTCTGCCCAGGTCAGGGGCTAAAGATGATGCCAACGAACAGAAACGTAACCTCAGTCCCCAGTGAAAACATCGCTGGGGCGGAGGAAATGTTGTAAGAGCCTAAACGGCACGGACGGTTCTTAGGACATGAGCAACCAGAAGACGTCACCAGAGGAGCCATAAACAGTGCAGATCAGCGGGCTCCACCGGCCAAGAGCCCGGCTCTGGGTTTGGGCCAGAAATCTCCGTAACAGACATCTCGAGACATCGCCAGTGATTCTCTTGTAGATGGTCTGCCCCTGAGAAAGACCAACCTGGTGTAAGACCTCTGGGCAACGCTGATCCTTGAACTACACACACACACCACCGGACCCAACAGGCGTCTACAGACCATCCACTCAACAAGAGCAGAACACACGTTCCTCTCGAGTGCAGGGGACGCGTTAAAAAGGGCCGAACCAACGCAAAAGAGCCGAAGGAAGACAAAGCGCGTGCTCCGTCCCTGTGGATCGAAACTGGAAACCAGTGACACACTGGCTGGTCTTAGAGGGCGGGGCTGGCTATGGTCTGAGGGTCCCTTTTTTCACTTCCCCTCCCTGCGGGTACAGTCCTTACATGGCCATGTCAAACGCATCGGTACCCACCTCCAACTTTCGGTAGCAATGGTTATTTCCTACCCCAAACACCTTCGCTACCAGTCAGAGGCTGAGCTGACGTCGGGGACACGGCCGACACCGGGAACGAAGAACTGGGGACAGGGTGACCCGGGCGGAGGCTCTATGGGTGTCCTTGGCACTACTATTTTTTTTCTTTCTGGAACATTTCTGTGAAATTACAGCTATTGTTAAAGAAAGTTTTTCAAAACTGTGTATTAATAAGTAACCACTCACACACAAAAAAATCCAAATGAGCTTAGAAATGAATCTGGGTTTTCATGATGACAGTGGCTCCTCCCGAGCCATTTTAATGTCGTCGGGGTAATCCCAGGGCATTATTGCAACTTGCAAAAAAAAAAAAAAATACACCTCCGGGCTAGGTTTATAATAGAGCTAAATAAGCACCTTCCTGGACCTGAAGCTTAGCATAATTGCCTTCAACGTAAGACTCCACCTCAGTAATTTCTCCTAATGTGAGTCTTAATGGAGGAACAAGATTTGAGGAAGTTGAAATAAAAGTTCCTCATCCATGTGAGATACTAATCCTGCCTGACTGGTAAACACACGATAAATCCAACCATGACTCAGGTTAGAAGCACGGAGAGCCCGAGAGAAAAGGGAGAGAAATGGAAGGTCAAATAAAACGGTAAACGTCCCAGTGGACAGGATCCTTTATGATGAAGCCCTGGCCGGTGGCTCAGCTGGCTGGGCATGGTTCCCTACGCCAAAAGGTTGCGGGTTCGATCTCCGGCTGGGGCGCACACGGCAGGCAACCCATCGATGTTTCTCTCTCTCCTTTCCGCTCTCTAAAATCAAAAATATATATATATATCTTTGGGTGACAAAAAATAAAATGTAAAATAATAATAAAATAAAATTCGCATATAATAAAAACACATTTAAAGCAAACAGACCAGCCCTGGCCAGCTTGCTCAGTGGTTAGAGCGTCAGCCTGCAGACTAAAGGGTCTCGGGTTCGATTCCAGCCAAGGGGCACGTACCTCGGTTGCAGGCTCGAGCCCTGGCCCTGGTCGGGGCGAGAGTGGGAGGCAACCCATCGATGTATCTCTCTCACATCGATGTTTCTCTCTCTCTCCCCCTCCCACTCTCTCTGAAAAGCAATGGAAAAAATATCCTCCGATGAGGATTTAAATTAAAAAAAAAAAAAGTGAACGGACCAGCCACGTTCTGGGAGGAGACGTTCCCCAACAGAAGGAGGGTCACCAAGCCCGGTATCCAGGAAAGCTCTGTTGTCATCAGGAATCTAAAAGGCACCGAAAGCAGCAGGGACACTGAGGGAGGTGCCTGCCACACTCTCAGGACCTCCTCGATGGGGACAGGGCGCTATCCAGGGCGGGAGTTTCTGCCCTGCCGGCCCTGCAGGTGAGAAGGTCCTTTACCAGATGCGTCAAGTCTAAGAGGCAGCTCTGAGCGTCCAGCCAGGATTAAACATTGATTACATCACAGTAAGTGAAAAACAGCTGAAAAACCGTCTCCCACCCCCGCAGCCCCAGGACAATACTCTCTAACTACGTGCTGGCGCTCGTGCTGGGTCACAGCTCTTGATAAAAGCAAGACACTGGCCCTCCTGGTGTCTGTCTAACCGTATATATGATATAACTATATATGATATAACAGCTGGCAACACTGAGACATGCATCTTTTCAAGTTCTCTCCCAAAGGCAGGCGTGTCCCCTAAAACTGCAGCAAGAAGGCAGGCCAGCTCCTCGGAGGTCAGGGGCGGCAGATCGCCTTCCAAAATACACAAGGCGTTACATATTTCAGCCATAATGAAACATGTTAAGGTTGTAATTACTTCATTAAGGATGGGGGAACGCAGAAATCCTGCCAGCTGCATTCTTGTTAAAACGGCATGAAATACCAACAGCTCGCCTTGCTGCAAAGATCCACGGCAACAGGGATCCCCCCGGATCCGGCGAGGCGTGGCCTGTGCGCACCCAGGGATTACGAGGGCTCACTGAAAGCACTTGGGATTTAAAACGTATCTTTCATAATCAGAAACCACACGCAGATGACTTCCCGCGCACTTGAAAATGTCCAGGTCCCTAAACTTCGGAAGAAAGAAATAGGGCGACGCGGGGACATTGAAAAGCAAGTACAGGCGAGACTATGATTTCTTCACCCAAGCACTTTGGAAAATGAACTCAGAAGAAAAGCGAACAATTTACATCAGAGTGTGTGTTTCTTTTTCTTGGACAGAAGGGTCAGCAATTTCCCCTGCTCCTCACGGCTATCAGTAGTTTATCAATCTGAGCCCAACACAACCTTCGTAATTTTTTCCACTCTAATATCAGATCCTGTGACCACAGGCAAGAGGTGTACAGCTGCCAATAAAAACACAGAAAAGTCAGAGCAAGCTCGTATTCTCCAGAACTAGTTAAGAGAAAACATCTCCATGGAGACGTTCTCAACAACTTGCATCTATGTGTCTAGGTCGCTTAGAAATCGCCCACCACCTACCCTCTGGAAGGAGCAACTACACTGTAGACTTACAGATTACAATAGCTGTCCCAACCGTCAAGGTTTACAAGAAATGCAAAATCGTTACTCATTTTATGAATTCAAAACATGGACGTTTCTAAACTGTGTGGGTCGGCACGGCCGGAGGAGAAAAGCCAGGCCCCTGGAAGGACAGGGACAGGGAAACGCCCCCACACTGCTGCAATCACATCTGCGGCATCAGCAGAAGTGACTGGACGGCTTTTCCGGAAAATCAGGAAAATATCAGTGCAAGCTGCGGCAAACCATTTTTTTTTTTTTTCTTTTTGTCTTTCAAAAATATGTTTTAGTCATTTTAGACAGAGAGGAAGGTAGAGGGATAGAGAGACAGAAACATCCATGAGAGACAGACATCGATCGGCTGTCTCCTGTGCGCCCCCTACTGGGGACCGAGGGCCTGCGCCCTGACAGGCAATCGAACCAGGGACCTCCTGGTTTACAGGCTGACGCTCAACCGCTGAGCCACAAGGGCCGGGCGAACCATCTTTTCTTTGGGCCCCAAATGCCATATAAATTCACTAAGGAATCGGGACAAAAGTAGAGGAGATATGTTCTAAACACCAAGAGGGAATTCAAATGGAAAAAGGAAGGTGGAAACGGGTAATAAACACCAGGGAAGCCTTGAAGAGGACAGAATCACTAGTTTCCCGCGATTGGCTCGGAACTCACGACCACCTTAGCAGGTCTGTTTCTGTTCTTACCTCGTAGGACCAGACGCACTGCACCCCCGCGAACCTCCGGACGCACCTGCCCACCTCCACGTCTTCGTGGGTGGTGTACATCTCTCGGAGACACTTGCCGATGTGCGGGACCATCCTGCGGAGCACCTCCCGGCTCATGATCACTCCGGGCCCCCCCATGCAGAAGTTCTCCCCGGGTTCCAGCGCCAGTTTCCCCATCTCTTCCGTGGTGCCCAGTCCTGTCTGCCCGAGAAAGAGGGGCTCGCTGCTGTTCAGGCTCCTCAGGAAGTTCTCCAGGCGGTCGCCCTTGATGTAGACGTCGTCGTCGGCTCTCATAAACCATTCGTACTTGTCCAAATAGTGGTCATGCATGTACTTGAGCATCATGAAAGACTTCTTCTGGGGCGGGTAGGAGTCGTCCACACCCCGCAGTGGCACTATGGGGATCGGTATGGACGTATCTGAGCCCTCGCTGGAGAAGAATTCCACCTTCCCGGGAATTGTCTTGGACCACGTCCTGGAATTAAAACAAAGATCAGTGAGAGCTCCTCGCTTCCAGAAACCCGCTTATCTGCTCATGACGAGCCGCCGTGTGTTCCGAAGGAATCTGTTAAGAAGCGGCTTGATCGGCTGGCTTCCCCGGGCGGAAGCCCACGCCGCCGGGCACTGCCAAGTCCCCGTTCATTCCCGAAAGACTCCCAACCAAAAATACCGATCGGGTGTTAGAGCAGTTCCAGGGCGGCTGAGCCTTGGCTTCGACTGAAAACCAGACTCCCAGGCCCCCGAGGTCGAGATGCTCAGGTTAATTTGCCGACACTGTCAACTCCCTGGCGACAAGCTCTCCACGCTATAAAACAGTCAAAAGGTTCATTCGACAAACGGGGGGGCCTTTCGGTGCACCGGCCGATGCTCAGCCACTGAGCCGCACAGGCCGGGCTCCAGGCGCGCGTCTCATCACTTTCCATAAGCTATGCTAACTTTTCCTACCATTCCCACGTGGGATTTCTTTCTTTTGCACAATCAAACTGCAGCCGGAAAACCATCAGGAGGCAAAATTCACAGGCCTGCTGGAGGTGAAATATGCTACCACTCAGTCCTTCTGAAATATGGGTTAAAGATAAACTTGAACTTGTACGTGGTTGCTTCTGAACCAAGTTCAAAGTAGTACTAAAGGAGCCAATCCCAAGCACCACGACATTATTGGGGACATGGGGTGGGTAAGACAATGCCTGCCTTCAAAGGAACCACCTACTAAGGAGACCACAGTACGTGGTGTAACAGTTACGAGCCAGGGTTCTGGGATCAGGCCGCTGGGGTGAGGCTCCTGGCTCCACTCTGTGCCTCACTTTCTCTATCTGTAAACTGGGGACAGGGACAGTCCCTGCCTTCCAAGGCGGTGAGGGCTGAACGCTCAGAAGGCAGCCTGAGTGCAGCAGGCATGAAACAGGCGTGACATTAGTTAGCAAAGACAGGAGTCTGCCAACAAGGTGAGGGCGGGAAAGGAAACAAACCGAGGGAGACAGGGACGTGCAGGCTGAACGTGGGCTGACGGTCAGTCTCCAGCGAAGGTGTATGGAAAACACCCCTTCTCGTGTGTCTCCCTGAAAACCCGGCACTCGGGGCTGTATGTGAGAATTCTGTTTAACTGTCCATCTCAGGCCATGTCAGGGTCAAAGTCCCACAAGGTTTCAAACTGTACAAGTGTTTTCCCTTAAAACGCCAGAATCCTTCACATTGGACTGAGGGTCAGAAGCAATGTTCACCTGGCCCAGCAGCCAGAACAGAGCAGCGGAAGCCCCTCAAAGGAAGGAAAGGGCACCCCCGTCACTGGTGCAACCAGCGCCTGGACGACAGCTTGAGATGATGTCACTGTCCGAGAAGAGAAACCAATTAATTTCGAATGCAGACAATCTAACCTCAAATCATCCTTAAAAGCCTCTCTGCAGTTTTATGGTTAACTCCACCCAATTTTCCTTTCCTTTTTCGGTAACCCAGAGAAAAACCTCTTATTGCCCTTTTCAGTTCTTAAATGACTGGTGGTTTGGGGGAAATCTCTTAATATGAAGTTTTTTTCCCTATGCTTTTTTAATATTTTATTTTTTAAAAATGTATCTTTGTTGCTGAAAGTATTACAGATGTCCTCCTTTCCCCCCCCCCCA